AAATTAGGGACGGCTAGCGCAGATAGCCCTCGTGTAGCTTTGCGCGAAATTCCAAAAAAAAAACAAACAAACCATTCTTTTAATGAACAGGCATTTTAAAACCATTTCCATTCTTGTGTTGGACTATTATCAAACTATTTATTTCATGCAGCTTTGCTTTAGCAACTGATAACAACAACACTCCAATTTGAACAGAATCAGTGTCTAATCTTGCCTTAAAATTTTCACAGTTTGATTTTGTTGGACAGTACTTCGAGTAGATTAATTAACGCTAAATGTGCCAACAGTTTTAGAGACAAAATAATATTTAAAAAAGCACTTGTATATCTGGTTTTCGGTAAAAGTTACTCTAATTTGATCAACCAAAGATCTAGCTTAGTTGTTTGTAGACATGAGCAGGATTCGAACAAGTTTTAAAATGTTCGGTGGTACACTTTTTGAAACATTTTTTAAGCCTATTTTTATTCATAGCGCAGCTATTGTCACCCGAGGTAATATAATCGTGAGAAAACATGTCACTCAAGTTAACATTTGCCCTATAAAAACGCAAGCAAACTGACGTCCTATTGACATACATGCATGCAAGTTAACACTCAAGATAATTTACAGCTGTGCTAAAGGTCAGCGACCTGACTAAAAATGCACGTGACTCAAATTTTAGAGGTGAAAGGAAGAACAGGTGATACGACATCTGGCGTTCATTAACTTTCTAAAACCTCGCCACTTTAACTCTCACGAAAACAGAAATTAAAACACTCGAAAGAAAATGTTTCTGAGAAATGTCTTGTTGTTGTTGTTTTTTGGTCATAAAAAGAAACTATAAATAAAATATTCTTATCTTGATACGTTTTACTTCAAATGAAGAAAGACTTCATAGTAGTTTTGGGAAGCCGTGAATCGCAAGAAAAACTACATTCGTAAAAAGAATTAATTATAATAAACTTTCACATTCTCCTATTGTTCCTGCAAAAAAATAAAAAATATTTCAGTTTGAGTTTAAATATTATCACATTTTTTTAAAGTTTAACACCTTCAGAATGAAACGTTTTCTTTTAATTGTAGTTAATTACGATACAAATATCCGTCTCACTGTTTAAGTTAAAGCAATAAAAAAAGACGCCTGTTACAATTTTACGAAAGCTTCTCTGTGTGAAGTACACATTCGTTTTATTTTAGCGTGAATAGTGGGAGGTTTGATATTATCATATTACCATGACGTGTCCCTTTCTTTAACATACTTTCAGCGATCTCGATTACAAATCCCTAAGGAATGCGCTTAGCTAAAACACGTGGTCGTAATTGTTGGTCTCGTTCCAAAAGGTGAAATTTACTGTGACAATGTGTGTGTTTGCAAGATCAACGAATAAAAAAAAAAAACACAGTAAATTCTTAAAATATATCAAACCACGCAGTGAATCGTTTATGTAAAGATAAAAAAATAAGAAAAAGCTGAAATGGGATCACTGCTAAATCACTAAAATGATAAATTCAAAGTTATTTGTGGTAGAAATATTTCGATTTGACATGTTTAGTTATGGGCCGGCCGTGGCCTAGTGGTCTGTGTATTCGAGGTTTCATGCTTCGTGACCCATTACTGCGAAAACGAACTCCACACTTTAGGGTTGTGGGTGAATTAAAAGAGTGACGGTCAAAACCCACTGGCGGTGAGTAATATTGATTCTCCTTTGGTGTTTTAGTTCAAAATTAGGGTCAGGCTATGCGCAGATAATATGTAGCTTCGCACGAAAAACATGTATTACGTGTTGTGTGTATATACATATTTGTACAATATGAATGTATACATTTTTAATTTAAAAATACACCCAAATTCTTCTTGTTAATAACTTCTAGATTAATAAAGCCTATCCTGTATAACAAACTTAGTAAAAACGTATAATTTTATAAGTCAATATACAAGAAAACTAAACCGTATAATTTTATAAGTCAATATACAAGAAAACTAAAACGTATAATTTTATAAGTCCACATACAAGAAAACTAAAACGTATACTTTTATAAGTCAATATACAAGAAAACTAAAACGTACAATTTTATAAGTCAATATACAAGAAAACTAAACCGTATAATTTTATAAGTCCATATACAAGAAAACTAAAACGTATACTTTTATAAGTCAATATACAAGAAAACTAAAACGTATACTTTTATACTTATAAAATTATACGTTTTAGTTTTCTTGTATATTGACTTCCATATACAAGAAAACTAAAACGTATACTTTTATAAGTCCATATACAAGAAAACTAAAACGTATACTTTTATAAGTCAATATACAAGAAAACTAAAACGTATAATTTTATAAGTCAATATACAAGAAAACTAAAACGTATAATTTTATAAGTCCATGTACAAGAAAACTAAAACAAACTTATAATGAGTAGAATATATTGGTCCATCAATTGGGTTCTCTTCCTGTTAACAGTATTTCGCCCCTACTAACTCGGTGGTAAGTCTGAGGGTTTGTAACGCTAAAAACCGGGTTTCTATGCCCGTAGTGGGCACGACACAGATATCTCATTGTGCAGCTTTGTACGTAACAAAAAAAAGCATACGAATAGCATTTTCAGCCGTAATACTAATATTAACTCATAAGATTCAGCCATCTTAGGAGATTTAAGTTAGTTTTAAATCCTAACAGTGGAAAATGTTCTTTATATACGTAAAAATGATAAAAAAATAATAATTATCATACTCATATGTTATTTTTAAACCTTTAAATTACTGTGGAGAAATGACATTTGGTATGCAGCAAACGTTCTTTTATCGTTTCGCTACGATGTTATTTTTAAACCTTTAAATTACTGTGGAGAAATGACATTTGGTATGCGGTAAACGTTCTTTTATCGTTTCGCTACGATGTCGTATGAATCATATACAGCTGAAATGCATTTCATCCCATTAACAACGGCGTATTACTTTCGTTTCGCTTACTCCTATCTTGATCAGTAGGTCGGCGGTAAGTTTGTGGACTTACAATACTAAAATCCTAGGCTCGATTCCCCACAGTGTACAAAGCACAGATAGCCTATTCTGTAGCTTTGCGCTAAAACAAACCCAATCTATCGGTGAATATGAATGTTGCGTATAATTCTGTTTGACAGGATGTCTAAAATAGTCCCCAACAGTATATTTTTCGAACAGATTTTAGAAGGGCGTGTCTCCAAGGCCACTCATAAAGCTACAAAAGAATTAGGCGTTAGAATCGTAAATCCATGACCTAGTAAGCATTTCTTGATCATTATAAATACACCTCCTGCACGTATTATTACAAAATAAATAAATACTACGAGAAAACGTAAAATGAATTATGTTCTGAAAGTAACAGTTAACGTCTTTGTAGCTTAATTAAGCTTAAATTTATTCACAGGTCCAAGAAATCCGACAGAAAAACCCAAACGTACTTTTCCTTAATGCAGGAGATTATTACCAGGGGACGCTGTATTACACGATTCACAAATGGCGAATAGTGGCCGATTTCATGAACAGACTTGGACACGACGCTATGGTAAGTCAGAGTACGGAATCTGAACGTACTATTTTAAAACTTTTAACCAATTTTATAAGAAAAATTTTTGTAATTCCAAGTACAATTTTTGTATTTAAAAAAGAAAGAAATGTCGTTTAATATTTTGATAGGACATCTTAAAGATGACAATAATTTATTGGACACAAAAATGGCAGGGGGCGTAGCCAAGAGGAATCTCCCAACATTTTGAAGGCTTAAAAGGTCCCTTTTATTCCAGCTATCAAACTTTATACAACTAGAAAAGTTATATACATGCAGCCTAACACCTAATATTATGCTCTTTCGCACAATAGTTTTGCTGTATTACTTGACCTTCTTAAGTTGTATTATGGCCAAGGTATATAGCATTATTTTTTGGATGTGCGACTGAAAAAAAAAAAAGTTTTAACCTCGCCTCCGGAGAGGAGGACGAAGGTATTGCAATCGGATTCGTGTGTCTGTCTGTCTGTCTGAGTTTCAGCGCGCGTATCTCGAAAACTACTAGACCAATGTACACGAAATTTTTACAAAATATGAAAATATATTGTTATTATTGTTTTTAAGGGGATGATCGTTAAGTTTTTTTTTCGCTCTTATGTATCTCCTTTTCATGTATATTATGGTACATGTTATGTGATAACTTGGTTGATCTTATTAACCCTCAATGTTCTGTGTGGTGTTATTACTTCTCCTATAAACGGAGACAAAATGACATAAGGAGAGTTATTTTTCATAATATATTTCTATTTCTTATTTTGTTCAATTTTGCAAGTAAGATATTCCATTTTGATATCATTAAATAATTCAACCCTCGCGTAATGAAAGAATCGACACATTTATATCTCATGTTTGCTAAGAATTGCTCACAAATGCAACGACATACTCATTGTGTGATTATCTCTCTTCATTTTTTTCCTACTTCTTTAATTCCTCCAATCATAAAGCTAATCGTGATTGCATCCTACTGACGAATGGTTCTGAATTTGCTGTAAATCAAATATATATAAGTGATAAGCACGAGTTTTGCTCCATTCCTTTTCGGGCCATTGAATTTCAGCAGAAAGATAACTGTATCAAGTGGTTCAGGACGAGCACAAACACATCACTGAACAATGATGATGTTCGGGGTTATCTATTCTCTTGCCAAACTGTTTCAACTACAACACATCACTGAGTAATGATGATGTTCGGGGTTATCTATTCTCTTGCCAAATTGTTTCAACTACAACACATCACTGAGTAATGATGATGTTCGGGGTTATCTATTCTCTTGCCAAATTGTTTCAACTACAACACATCACTGAGACAAGAGAATAGATAACTCTGAACATCATCATTGTTCAGTGATGTGTTGTAGTTGAAACAATTTGGCAAGAGAATAGATAACCCTGAACATCATCATTGCTCAGTGATGTGTTGTAGTTGAAACGACTTGGCAAGAGAATAGATAACCCCGAACATCATCATTGCAAATCGTTTCAACTACAACACATCACTGAACAATGATGATGTTCAGAGTTATCTATTCTCTTATCAAGTCGTTTCAACTACAACACATCACTGAGCAATGATGATGTTCAGGGTTATCTATTCTCTTGCCAAGTCGTTTCAACTACAACACATCACTGAGCAATGATGATGTTCAGGGTTATCTGTTATCTTGCCAAGTCGTTTCAACTACAACACATCACTGACCTGTATAGTTTGATAAATTTAGAAATAATTTTGCGACTGGTGCATCATAAATAGAACAAAATATATATACAAGTAATGTATAACCTGTCTGATACAAGAGTGCAATATTCAATACACTAGAATGTGATAATCTTATCGAGCGAATATATATATGTCACAGCCATAACTCTGAACGTGTGCAACTGGAATATTTGGCATTGGTAAACTGTAACTGATGCTCACATAGTGAGGTCCTTTCGGCAGAAGAAATAAATCCGTTTTGTACTTCTTAACTAAGACGAAAAATAAGAGAATACGAGAAAAAAAAAGTGCAAATACATTATGATGGAGTCTTTTTTTCCCAAGCGGAAGCGGGATAGAAAATATGAATACGTGTGACTGAAGTTTTTTCCAACAGGAGGCGGGAAAGAAGACATAAATACGTGTAACTGAAGCTTTCCCCAGCAGGTGAGTGAAAAAAGAAATGATTACACGTCAAGGAAAGTTGGGTGTTCCACGACACAGGTACTGTAACTAGGAGGGTTAAAATGTCAAGGATTGTGCAGTAAAAAAAAAAAAAAGGAAAAGGAGAGAAGAGGATAGAGAGTGACGATAGCAGGTGAAAATACAGCGACCTCTCATACCTGAAGCTATAGGGGGGTGAGACTGTTAGAACAAAGACTGAAAATAAGAGTGTGAAAGATAAGCAATGAGAATGCGAAGATGATAAAGTCAACGTGGAAAAGTGTAGAAAACAGGTCTATGTCATGTATGCAAGACTAAAAAGGTAATTTCTAACACTAAAATTAAACTTAACATCTATAACAGTGGAAAGTAGACTTTTTGCTTGTCTCTAAATAGTTTTGTATGATCATTATTTGATATATTTTAAAACTTACAGCTGTTTTCTGTTTTAAAAGACAATCGACTATCACAGCTTCTGCTTGTATATAACACTATCACAGCTTCTCCTTATATCTAACCCTATCACAGCTTCTGCTTGTATCTAACCCTATCACAGCTTCTGCTTGTATCTAACCCTATCACAGCTTCTGCTTGTATCTAACCCTATCACAGCTTCTGCTTATATCTAACCCTATCACAGCTTCTGCTTGTATCTAATCCTATCACAGCTTCTTCTCATATCTAACCCTATCACAGCTTCTGCTTGTATCTAACCCTATCACAGCTTCTGCTTGTATCTAACCCTATCACAGCTTCTGCTTATATCTAACCCTATCACAGCTTCTGCTTATATCTAACCCTCATCGTAATCTAATTTATAAAATAATATTGCTTTTTTGTTCTGCTACATCACGTACATTTTGTAGATTTGTTTATTAAAATAATAATTGCTGTTGGACGGACGGATAAACAGAAACGATCATAGATTATGTAACTGAACTATTTTTTTAACTTATTCTAGGCCTTGGGAAATCATGAATTCGACGACGGTATCGATGGCCTCGTCCCTTTTTTGGAGAATGTGTCGTTTCCTGTTCTGAGTTGCAATATTAATTCAACTCTCGTCACCAGTCTCCACGGAAAGATCAAACGGTCCAAAACGGTAAAGATTAGCGACCAGACCATTGGTCTGGTAGGCTTCACCACTAAAGATACAGCCGATATCGCTAAAGTGGGTAAGGTATCTGTTAAAAGTTATCCAAACTATTATAATTCAATGAAATAATTAGATTGAAAGGCGGAATATTATTGGCAATCAACACCATCTCATATGACGTAAAAATAACCGAAACGCTTCATAAATATGCACCAAATGTATAAACATGGAGACAGCAATCTAAACAGCCCAAAATTTAAAAAATATGTATATCTACACGTAACACAAACTATTCACAAGTTCATTACTGTGACACAGACAACACCCAAAACCTACACCAAAGGAACTCAAAATAGCTTACAGAGATCAGACCAGTACCTAGATGTGGTGTATACAAGTTCATTACTGTGACACAGACAACGCCCAAAACCTACACCAAAGGAACTCAAAATAGCTCACAGAGATCAGACCAGTACCTAGTTGTGGTGTATACAAGTTCATTACTGTGACACAGACAACGCCCAAAACCTACACCAAAGGAACTCAAAATAGCTCACAGAGATCAGACCAGTACCTAGTTGTGGTGTATACAAGTTCATTACTGTGACACAGACAACGCCCAAAACCTACACCAAAGGAACTCAAAATAGCTCAAAGAGATCAGGCCAGTACCTAGTTGTGGTGTATATATATTATTATAATCAGCCATGCGTTTATTGGTGAAAATAAAAGAAAATGCACATGTACACAGTAGTGGAAACACTGAACAACATAGTAACAGAACAAAACGCAGTCTGTAAGTATTTTAATACTAGAATTAAACGACTTTAAAACACAAAAATGTTTTGTTTTTCTTTAATTGAACACTCAACGTTTCGCTTTACAGCTTCTTCAGGAGAGTTCAAACTAAAACATAAACCGTAACTGACAGTACAAAGCTTCACATTGTTTGAGTAATTTATTGATTAATTTATTATTCAAACTGCTTGAAGCTTTGTAGTCTCAGTTACGGTTTATGTTTTAGTTTGAACTCTCCTGAAGAAGCTGTAAAGCGAAACGTTGAGTGTTCAATTAAGACAAAATAACAAATTTTGGTGTTTTAAGGGCGTTATATTACTAGTATTAAAATGTCTGTAAAATACAATTGTGCACTACAGGAATTAAATGATGACTTGGTAAGTATTGCTCAGAAGGCACTTTCCATAACGAAACCCATGGAAATATTGACAGTTCAGTTCCAAAGACATCAACTCATAGTAAAGAATAATTTGAAAAATAGTAGAAATTATTAATATATATGTAACGCAATATGCCTAAATGCCAATATCTCTTTGAACATCACACACTATTATTCTTATTTTCAGATTCTAACATTAAATGGATAACATGGAAAATGAAAGCCACACCAGTTTCGTTATTATTATAAACATGAAAACTACTTCTTAATGACAAGGATTCGAACTCATCTTGAGGTGTGAATTAACTGCGCAACTCAATTAAGCAAATAGCTTTCGAGTAGCTTTGCGCGAAATTAAATAAGCAAAGAAAATTACGCCTCTTTCTAACGAGGTCAAAAGCTATGCAGCTATTATGTAATATGTAAATCCGCTCCAGAGCTTTTTCTGATCACGTGGTGTGGTTTTCATTCATTTCACGACAAGAATGCTAATAACAACGCTACTGCTTGTTACCTTGTATATTTAAATATATTCAACTACACACACATATATATATATATATATATATATGTTTGTTAACTTGTCTATGGTAGTGTGTATTTTTTGTATATATGTTGTTGTATTTAGAATTTTCGTGCTAAGCTACTCACGTGGATATGCAAATAGCCATTCATAATTTTCAACTAATAGATTAAAAAGAAGACAACTACTCAACAGCACTTACAGCCAACGCACTTATCTGACTTAATAGTAGGATTTGACTGTCACTCTTATAGCGCATCCACAGCAGCAAAGTGTGGAGCGCATTTTTGCGGTAATGGGACGAGATGAGCCCTCGGCTTCGCGATCAGGGTAAACTAACCAGTAAGCCATGCCCAACTGTATTCTATACATAAATAATACTTTTTCTCTTTTTTTATGCGACTCCATAGAGACTTGGCTAGGTGAAGCTGTCAACATTTTATTTACAGCTACAATAACAAGCTACACATACACATTTCAAAACCTTTGGTCATCAAGCGCTTCAAGTACTTTAAGAGCTTATCAATGTTTATTTTTTACTGCAGTCTATCAATAAAACACATTTTTGAGTCATCTTTTAGCGGTTAACAGACAGCGATGGCAAGAGTTTCTGGAATACAGTGTCGATTTATCAAGTCTCATCTGTCAATAACCAGCCTGGAGCCAAGGTTAAGATGAAAGATAACAACGGAGGTTTGTGTTGATATATCTCTCCCACTATCAAATATCGCGTGACCTGAGACAGAGAAACGTTTCTAAGTGACCAGCGTATGCTAACTTAAAAATATTTACATAGTTTTACTTATTACAAGACCCCCTCCCCCCAGTGGCACAGCGGTATGTCTGCGGACTTACAACGCTAGAAACCGGGTTTCGATACCCGTGATGGGCAGAGCACAGATAACCCATTGTGTAGCTTTGTGCTTAACTTCAAACAAACAAAACTAATTACAAAATGTGTATTGGTTAATATTCACAATCTCTTTGGTTTCTTACGATGCAGGATATTAGTTGGTGTTGTGAGATGCTCAGAACTTAAGATCTATATCAACTGAGGCGTAATCAGTGTTTCAAATGTATATGAATTAGAGCCAAGGCTGAATCAGCTCATTAGATGCATGTCAACTACAACTAGGGCGTAATAATAAGTATTTCAAATGTATATGAATTGGAACTAAGGCTGAATCAGCTCATTAGATGTATATCAACTACAACTAGGGCGTAATAATAAGTATTTCAAATGTATATGAATTGGAACTAAGGCTGAATCAGCTCATTAGATGTATATCAACTACAACTAGGGCGTAATAATAAGTATTTCAAATGTATATGAATTGGAACTAAGGCTGAATCAGCTCATTAGATGTATATCAACTATAGCTAAGACGTAATCAATATTTCAAATGTATATAAATTTGAGCTAAGGCTGGATCAGGATCTCAGATGTATATCAACTGGCGTTAATTAAGGTATAACCAGTATTTCAGAATTTTCGTGCTAAGCTGCTCAAGGAGATATGCAAATAGCCATTCATAAATTTCAACTAATAGATTAATAGGAGGACAACTACTCAACAGCACTTACCGCCAACACTTCGGCTACACTTATATGACTGAATAGTAGGATTTGACTGCCACTCTTATAACGCATAAGAATAAAGCTTAGATTTGTTTCTTTCAGAAATGTCATGTAAAGGGTTATTTTCATATAGCCTTCCCTAATTTTGAACTGATAGACTAGAGAGAAGGCAGCTAGTCAACAGCACCCATCACCAACTCATGGGTTACTATTGTTTACCGACCGAACTGTGGGATCTCACCATGATGTCTCTAGCGCACCCACGGTTTCAAAGTGCAGCAGCGCATATTTGCAGCAACGGGCCAAGAACCACGAATCCTCAGATTACAGTCCGAGCACGCTAAACACTTTGCCGAATAAAGCTCAGAATGTTAATTTTGGTTGTTTGTTAATAGAATATGAAGGAATTCTTATTAGCTATGTCAGCGTAATCAGGAAACATCAAAGATAATGACGAAACAGATTGACCCATGTTACTTTCAAATTTGGAATATAACTGTTAATATGGAAATCGACACTTCCACCCCCACCCCAGTGGCACGGCGGCATGTCTGCGGACTTACAACGCTAAAATCCGGGTTTCGATA